GGCGAAACGTCGTGAGAACATTATTGTGTTATTTTATTTAATCAATTTATTATTTTATTCTCATTCTACGTGACTTTACCGAAAGAACCAAAGAAGATGAAGAGGGCTATCTTTGATTCGATGTTTTTTGACCCCGGCATTAATAATTCCAATCTCGATCCGTCTTGGTTTCATTGCACTGAATAGTCTCCGTAAAATCTGTTTTAAATCAACTGCAATTGCCACGTGATTGAGAACCCGTGCTGATGATCATTATAAAACAACAAAAAATGTACCATTTTTTTTTGTTACCAGGTAAGACCCACCGAGCTATACAGCTCTTTTCCGGAAGCGACCTGGCCACAAATGATAGCTCCAACAAAGTGGCTGACCATTATGTGTAAATGTATAGCACCCAAATACTCTAAACGCGTGTTTCTAAATGTGGAGGGAAAAACAAGAGGACCCGGAGAAAAAGCCAAGCGACCACGGGGAATATGCAAACTCCAAATAAACATCAGGCGTCAGGGTCGGAATCAAACCCACGACCTCCTGTAAAACATCGCCTTAAATCGGCAATGGCCTTCTTCATTGCACAGGGCCACGGCCCACAATTCTCACCTGCTACAGTCATGTACGTACGTACGTTGAACTTCTTTCGCACCGTACGTAGCCAAGCATGCTAATCTGAGGTGCGGGTGACGGACAGCAAACTTTGCACAAAAAGCAGTTCTGTGAGGAACTACAATAGTTCGCGTCTACAACGGGGATGCGTTCCTGAACGGTTGCGACGACGGCGAATATCGAAACGACGTCAATCGAAGCGACTTGCAGGGTAGTCAGGTGGTGCAGGTGAAGGCTGAGAGGCGACGGATAACGAGAAAGGACGAACGACGTTGCTGCCAGCGACGTGAGCGTGGGGTTGAGGCGAATGCAAATCGGGTGGCGGTGTTCGTAATAAAGTGACGACGTGTTTGCAAAAGGACGTTAAAGGGGGAGACGTTAATCGGGGAGTTACTTTATTTATGATTTTCTATTTAAGGCCCCAGTATTGTTGACGAGTGTGTTGCGGTTTTTTTTTTGTCAATCATGCTTGTGGACCACTGCCACCACAACAGCAGCAGTGTCGCCAAAATAATTTGTTTACTATTGAATTTCTCACCACCTTCCATGGGAACGTGGAATTTCCACCAAGAGCTCAGAGATGAGCCGCCGCCCTTTTTGCTAAAAAAAACGCCACTTTTTTCAAATTTTCTTGCTGTGGTTTTCACACCTGATGATGATGATGATTGCTTGTGTTGCAGTCGAAACGTCGTGAGAATTTTATTGTTTTATATTTTTATCATTTTAGTGTTTCCCTTCTACGTGACTTTACCGTAAGAACCAAGAATATGAATCCCTGCAGTCCCGAAAGCTTCAAATCAAAATTTGAACGGAACACCGTTCACAACGGACCCTCACCACCGCACAACCAAGTTGCTCTTGGCAGCCTTGTCGAACAGCGATGAGTGAGTGAGTAACATTGGAAGAGGTTAACCGTTATGATACATTAAAGAGCGTGCACTACGTAAAAAACAGACGTCGCACGCGCACCCTCGCCATCTCGAACCCTGTCCTCTTCGTAAAAGCGCGTCCATAATTTATTTGAAACATTTTTAAAATTACAAAAAATTCCATCGGCTGCTGCGTGCTCGCTTCCCACGTGGCCAGGCCTCCGTTCTATCGTCGGTCATAATAATAAAAAAATACCCTTTTTACGATTACGAGCAGAGCATTGGCAGACAACTGTCATTTTCAAATGGCAAGATAATACGGATGGCGTTTATTTTTTTTACGTTCTCCGAGATTTTAATAATTTTCTGGCAAAGTAATTATATTCACAGAAGCACGCATTGAGAAGTTGGAGACATTTTGAATGAACCGCCTCAGTCCTCTGCCTTTGTTACTCCCACCTCTTCGGTGTCGATATCTATTATACACCTTACCAACTTCTTTGGCGCCTTTTAAAATGTGAATTTGTTACACAACAAAATCCTGTTCAGCCAGTTACCCAGATAGTTTCGGTGCCAATGGCCCGCAGCAGCCACTACCGATCGAGTTATTGTTGGGGTAGAGAGGAGCCCAGCCAGCAGCCAGCCAGGAAACTCGAGGCATAAATTATTTGTTACAGTAATATTATAATCATCATACTCATTGGGTCTTTCGGTAGAGTCACGTAAATATAAAAATAATAAAGTAATAAAACATCCTCCTGCCTCAGCAATCTGCCTGCTGTATTTTTTCACCTGAAGACGATTGCTTAGGTTGGGATCGAAACGTCGCGATTTTTTATTATTTTATAATTTTTCTATCTACGTGACTTTACCGAAAGACCCAGAGAGTATGAATTCCTGCAGTCACGAAAGCTTTAAGTCAAGAAATAATAACATTACAAATGTTATAACATTATTATATGATTTTTTTTTTAATCCAGAAGGGTTCTTGATCGAGATGTTTGGCCAATAAAAGAATGTTTTTGCAGGTGGAAGGAAACCAGAGTGCCTGGAGAAACCCCACGAAGACGTGGGAACAGCACGCATTAATTTCACTGAGAAAATTCTGTTCCGCGTTAGACAGTTTTTACAGGGCGCCGCTGTGGCCGAGATGTTAACTACCTCGCTTGGTATACAGGAGATCGTGGGTTCGTGGATTTTTCTCCGGGTCCACGTTCAGAAACGTGCATTTTAAAGTATTTGGCTGTTGTAAATTTACACTTGCGAGAAAATTAACTTCGTTGGGATATCATTTGTCATCGCCAAGTCGCTTCTGAAAAAGAGCTTATATGGCTCAGTTGGCCTTACCATGTAAAATTAAACAAGTAAACAGTAATAAAGCATGAGAATAGGTTTTCCCCTTTTTTCTGGCAACAAAACAGTCGTGTTCAGATGTTAAAATACCAAACTGAACCCTTTTACAAGGAATCATGTCTGCATTAACCGCAATGCTTCTGGTCAGAATGCAAACAAAAAACGTACTCTGAGGCTCATTCTGACCACAAGTATTGTGGTTAATGCAGACATGATTCCTTGTAAAAAGGTTTTAGTTTTGTGTTTTAATATCTTAACACCTGTTTTGTTGTGAGAAAAAGGGGAAACCCTATTCTCATAATTTGGTACTGGCAAAGGAGGTCCAATGAAGTAATAATGCAGTCGTTTAAAATTTGCTTTACAATGAGTGTGTCAAGTTCCCCTTCCCTCCGACTTTGTATACACCACTCCCCCCCACCCCGTTCAACAAATTGACGCTCCAGGACCTCCTGTAAAGTTCTGAAATCGCGAAAGCACGATTAATATCCGGGGAGAAGTACGGTGTGGCCCCACACACAGTGGCTTAAGTTATCCCTGTAACTGGCCGATGTGAGGAATTCATGGGCCGCAAAAATTCAATACGAGCTGCACATCGCTGCGACTCCCTGAAAATTCAGGCTCGGAGGCCACAACTCTAGCACAGGGCCAACCACAACAACGACCACGCTAAATTGTACTTTTTAGAAAGTTAAATTTAGCTCGTGTTTTCTGCTTTCTTCAAATTGAGGATTCATACGGGTTACGTTTTGGTATTGGCGGTTGGGTTCGTGTATTGTTAAGTCTCGATCGCTTTTACAAGCGCATCATCGACATTTCCTGCAATTATTTTTCTCCAAAATAATTGAACCGACGTCGTTGCCCCACTGGTTAGAACCCGAGAAGAGGGAAACCAGACAGGACGGTGACTTATTGATGAATGTAACCACTTAAACGTAATAATGAGAAGAATAAATAATATTCCACGCAGACCAAGCCGGCGAGTTAGTGATTTAAACAATAATTTGTAGAGGTTTAACTTTAGACAACAGAAACTGTTTGGGAAAAGGATCAACAGTGTGATTAATACATGGCCCTCTGTTCTGTCTCTGCATTATGATTAACTTTTTTAAAGTCTAGCGGCCTAGTAGCTTTGTTGATTTGTGTTACTAGCAGCAATTGTTGAAGCAAGCAAAGTATGAAATTAATTTAACCTAATTTTTTATTTTACCATTTAAGGGCAACTGAGCTCTATAGCTCTTTTTCAGAAGTGACCTGGCCACAAATGATAGCTCAACAAAGTGGCTTATCATCAAGAGAATAATAGCAGTCAAGTACTCTAAATACATGTTTCTAAATGTGGAGGGAAAAACCGGAGGACCCGGAGAAAAACCGACGCTAAGGGGAAAACATGTAAACTCCAAATATACAGCAGCAGGCGTCAGGATCGAACCCACGACCTCCTGTATACCAGACGAGGTAGTCAATGATGGGGGGGGGGGGGGGGGGTGGGGGGTGGAGGGTGCTGTAGCACCAATACAATACTTGATCTTATTCAACATATTTTAAATAAACCTGGATACATGATTTAAACACAGGGGGGGATTATGAAATGAGAGGCCCTGAGCAGCAATCAATTTTCGGCACCCAGAGCCATCTCTTAAAGCGATTATCAGCACTGCTCTCTGTGGGCTATGCTTGCAACATTCGCTCGATGCTGCTGAAGATGCAGCGGCTCTCAGCTCACTGTCAGAATGCGTTCAAGTTCAATTCATGTCCCAGGTTCCAACTCGGCTCATCATCCCTCCGGAGCGGACAAAACGAGTAAACCACTTTGTGGGAAGTCGACAACGGTCGTCCTGTGGGACGTACAAAGCTCCCGCAATGAAAATGTGGAATATCTACCACAGGCATCGCCCCCACCGCATCAGGTGAAGCAGCGACTTTGTCCGTGAGCGTCAGGCTCCGCACGGAAGGACACGCGCAAGTAAAAAAACACCACTTGGTAAAAACACGACGGCCAGTTAGACGTCTAATCCAGCCCAGCCCCGTGCGCATCAGGCACGTCGCTCGGGATAACGGGTCAAGAGTTTTTTTTTCCCCGCCTGCACGGGATTTTTTTATTTGTTTTGAGCTGGAACGCGAGGCTTAACCCCCTGGACAACTCGCTTGACCTTTAGAGGAGCCGCAGCTGCGTACCTTGCAAGCGGCGGACTCGTCCGTCCAAGGGAGACGTCGTGTACTGCGCCGGCGAAAACTCAAACTCAAAGTTCTGCAGGAGGGTCTCCGTGAGAGCCATCGGGAACGGCTGTCTTTCCTCCCCCACGCAAACAACCTCCTTCTGATGTTTTCGATCGACTCTTCCAAGCGGTGGGGGGGTGGGGGTGGGGGGCTGCCACGAGAATCAAGTACCCTCTTCTTGTTGATCACGAGGCAAGGAAAATTATAATAGTTGTTCAACTATCTCGCTTGGAAAGGGGTCCTCCTCCGTTCAAAGCCACATTTCGCAAGATGCAAAATGCTGGGTCACAATATTCCGCTGGCAGTGAGGAGGTGGGGGTGGGGGGTAGGATACTGGCGTGACCACCAAACTCACAGCTCCCCCGCACTCTCTCTCTCCCTCGCTCGCTCTCTTTCTTCCCGAACGAAAAACCCCACGGTCGATTGGAAAACGCAGAAACCTCGAGTGATTCAAATTGGAAGCCGATTTCGAATTCTTCCCTTAGCACGACCACGGCGGTTTCCTCGGGGAAAGAGGAAAAAAAACGACGCAGATGCTCCGCAGGTGCCGGTGGGTTTTGTTGTTGCTGTTAAGCAGAGGCAATTTCCACGGCGTTTGTTAAAAAATTAATGCGTACAGTCGGTGGCAAGCTGCTGCTGCTACTGCAGCCGCCGCCGCCGCTGCTGCTACAGCAGAGCGCCAGCCCCATGGTGCAGAGCGCGACGCGGAGCCGGAAAACCGCCTCGCGAGACGCACCGACAACCACCGCCACCACCGACAACCACCGCCACCACCGACAACCACCGCCACCACCGACAACCACCACCACCAGCCACCACCACCACCGACAACCACCGCCACCACCGACAACCACCGCCACCACCGACAACCACCACCACCAGCCACCACCACCACCGACAACCACCGCCACCACCGACAACCACCGCCGCCACCGACAACCACCACCACCAGCCACCACCGACAACCACCACCACCGACAACCACCCGCAACCACCCACCGACAACCACCGCCACCACCACCGACAACCACCACCACCGACAACCACCACCACCACCGACAACCACCACCACCAGCCACCACCACCACCGACAACCACCACCACCGCTACTGCCGCCGACGGCACCACCACCAGCCACCAGCCGCCGCCGCAGACTTTCAAAAGCCCCACGCGGTGGCAGCGTGAGAGAGCAAGTGATGTGACGACGACGCTTTAAGGGGAGAGCGAGCGGCACCTCGGAGCAAACCACTCCCGCAGCTCTGGGGGGGGGGGAGGAGTTGTGTCCATTGGCACGAGGGGGGGGGGAGGCAGCGAGGGTGGCAGTATGAAACGTCGACAGATTTAAACGGTGAAATAAAAATGCACTCTTAATGATCTTTTGCGCGCCAACAATTTTGCGACGAGCGAGTCGGAGGTAATTGAAGGCGGCTCGCCTCCGCCCCTCCGCGCCGACGTCGGCGGCACGACCGCCACGGATTTTGGTTGATTGCTTTTAAAGACTTTTTTTTTCGACGTTGCACATTTCGCGTGACAGTGGTTGGGGCGATGGGGGGGGGGGCACGGGGCTGTGGGGGTGAAATTGGTTCGGCCTTTTGAGAACTCTGCCACAATGCTTGCCCGCATTCGGGCTTGTAACAAAAAAAGGATTTAAAAAAAAACACACACACAAAGGGTTCTGGAAAGCTCTGGTGAAGCAAAAAACATTATTTTTTTCTCTCTCTCTCTCTCTCCATCACAGGCCACGGGAACAACGGGCGGGGATATAATAACTACAGTCACGCCATGCCCCACAATTCGCTGGCTTTTGGGAGTCGCACTCGGTTTGGCGCTCGCCAATCGGCGAGGTTTGTTAATTTTAGGGCGCGCTCTGAACACGGATCAGAGGCGCAACTCCTCCAACGTTGGAGGTGGCAACGCCGCGTCCACCAAGCGCACTTGCCCTTTGTTTTAAGAAGCGAGCTGTGTGCGTGGTGGGGTGGTACTGTCACCGCGAATTCACGTTGTGGTGGTGGAGAGATGTTAACCACCTCGCCTGGTGTACAGGAGGTGGTGGGTTCGATCCCGACCCTGACGCCTGCTGTATACGTGGAGTTCGCGTGTCTCTCTCTGTGGTCACGTGGATTCTTCTCCGGGTCCTCCGGTTTTTCCCTCCACATTTGGCAACATGCGTCTTAGAGTATTCGGTTTACTATCTTGACGTGAAGCTTTCGTGACTGCAGGAATCCATACTCTTTGGTTCTTTCGGTCGAGTCACGCAGATAGAAAATTAATAGATCACGACGTTTCGATCGCAACACAGGCGACCGTCTTCAGGCGAGAGGGTATGGCACATCCTCGATGCCCACGGTTAGTAGGGAGTTCCACAACGTTCGCGTTCGGTGATCCAGCATGCGAACGTTGTTCGCTGCTGCCTCCACACAACGGTGCTGGGTAACAGCCGTGGCGCCACCAACCGTCCGGAGGTGACGATGGGCTGAGTCAATCCCCGACCAGGAATTCGACACTTGCAACCATTCCGACCGCTGAGCCACCTGGCCGGATGAAGGTTGAATGTTTCTATGAGGCCACCTTTCTGGACAGCCAGTGACACGCACGATGCATATAGCCTGTACCGTCATGATTATGCTGTTTTTTTACGTACTTAGTGACACTCAAACAACCCCCGTGACCAACGCAGCATTGGGAGGGCTTCGTCCAGCAATGGATTGATAGAGGGCTGTGAATGAATCGCGAGTAGTAGTATTATTAATATTATAAAGAGACAGGTGAGAGAAAAACAAGAGTGAGAGACGGTTGAGATGGAGACAGGAGACGCAGGCGAGACACGAGAGTCGATCCCAATTTCCACTTACTGCATAATAATATGCATCTATTTATTTATTTTCATTCAATCCACTGATGGATGAAGTCCCCCCCCACCCCGCCCAACACCTTTTGGTCGCGGCGATTATTTGACTTCAAACACGTTACGCAGTGCAGGTTTCACTCCTCCAATGAGCACGGTTGGCTATGTACGCTTCGAAATCATTTCAACATACATACGTACGTTAGTGAATGCGGTGCCCAGGACTGGTTCAGATATTACCTGCTGCTGATGGTGGTAGGGTTGGCCGGAAATAGAACTCGGGTATACGGGTGGGTTTGTGGAGAGCAGTGTATTAACCGCTGCTCCGGCCAATGATAATGTACTTATGTATGTTGAACTTCTTTCGCATAGCACGTAGCCAACCGTGATGTGTGCATTTTAATGGCATGAGAGTGCATCCACTGTGGAGGTGGAGTCGTGAGTTCTGCTCGTGTGCCGGAGCCAGATTGGACCGTTGCACCGCGGAATCGTGAGCGAAAGCGACAGACGGACGGTGGCTGGCGAGGAAGATTCGGGCTCGCCAGTGCCGTAGAGGCATCGTTGCCGAATCCTCTAAATCTTGCATGGCAAACTCACGCAGAGCACAAACCTTCCTTTCACCGAGGGGGTCAAAGGTAGCACAAAGCTACAAAAACATAACCAAGCATCTTTCGTAGCTGGTGGCACTGCCGTTAAACGAAACTATTTTTTTTTTATTTTACGAGGTAAGGCGCACTGAGCTATATGCCTCTTTTTCAGACGCGACCTGGCCAAAAAGGATTACTCAACAAAGTGGCTTGTCACGTGGAAATTTATCGCAGACAAATACTCAAAACGCATGTTGATTTTAAATATGGAGGGGAAAACCGGAGGATCCGGAGAAAAATCCACGCAATCATGGGGAAAACATGCAAACTCAGGTTCCGGATCGAACCCACGACCCTCCTGTATACCTGAGTTCGATTACCAGCCACGGCTAACATCGATGGCGAGTGATATCTGAACCGGTCCTGCCTGGGTCTTCCCCCCATTGTACCAAGCTGTAATGACCTGCATGGTCAATGGTGATCAAACAACTCGCATAACCAAAAGGTGCCTAAGAGGCCTTCATTCAGATTGCAAATTTTAATGACATCTAATTCAATTAATTACATGACAAATGGGTGAAAATTTATATATATTTTACAACCAAATGGTTGTCACAGTGGCACGGTGCATGGCTTGCAATAAAAAAAAATTGTTCAGAGGGTCAAACTGAGCCCCAGCATCCCTGCCAAGTAAATAAATTGAGTATCACTTTATGCAACAGCGGTGGTCGTCCCTGTACATATGTAGTGGCATAGCGCCGACTGCTGTCCAGCAGCCGCAACTGCGGTGGACAGCGCACACGCCGTCGAGCGTAAAACACGGTGTGTTTGCCGGTAGGGTGGAGGAACTGGGGCAAGGGTCATGGAAGACCTCATCGGGGAGCCCCTGGAACCCGCTAGCGGGTTCGAGAAGGGAGGCGTTGCTAGGGCAGAGCCAGGCCCGCGCCGAGTAGAATAAAAGCAGCGGAGAGCGAGGAGCTCCGGGCTGCCGGTTCTGGGAGTGGACTCGTCTCGTCGTCACTGTCGTCTTCGCCGCCTTCGCTGCTGCCGTCTTCACTAGATCATTGGGCGGCTGGATAGTTGTTGGCTGTCTGGGTCGATGCCGTCAGTGTAACACGGTCAGGGTTGCGTCCAAGCTAGGCTATTTGACATCGGAAAGAACCTGTGAACCTAAGAGTGTCAATAAAGAAGGTGCCTCCTGCAACTGCCTCGTCTCTGACTTGTGCTATACTGCACATAGATTAAGTCCCCACCATAGGAGCGTGGAGTTTCCAGGACTGGCTGAGGGCTGTAAACAGGAGGATGAGGGCTTGCCTCCATGCTCTCTTGAGTGGGAAACCACATTTGACTTTTTAATTTTTTTTTAAATGTGGTTGTCAAGTTTATTTGTTAAAGTGGGATACCAGTTATGCTTTGGGAGGCTTTTGAAATAATCCCAATAAATACATTGCCGTGTTAATCATAAATATCACTTGATTTAAATATGAGAGCAACAAAAATTAGGACTACTTGTACACTCAACGAAAGTGATTATTACGACTCCCGCTGAACCCATCCACATTAATCAGCCAAATGTAACTGGCAAAGAGGGATTACCACCTCCTGCTGGAATGCAGCCAACGTTGGAGGCTGTTTCGTTTCAAGAGGCTAAAGTGAATTATATTTCACTCGCACAGATGCGCAGAACACACACATTAATTTAAAAAAACAGTAATTTAATTCTCTCATGTAAATGGTAAAAATAATCTAAGTAGGACTTAGCATCTTTAAAAAAAGAACATCTGTCAATGCATACCACATAATAAACTAAACAATTTTTTTCCCAGGTAAGGCCCACTCGGCTGTATAGCTTTTTTTCAGAAGCAACCTGGCCAAAAAAAATAGCCAAATTAAGTGGCTTATCATGTGGACATATATAACAGCCAAACACTCTGAACGCATGTTGATTTTAAATATGGAGGGGAAAACCGGAGGATCCGGAGAAAAATCCACGCAACCATGGGGAAAACATGCCAACTCCAAATATACAACAGGCGTCAGGGTCGGGGTCGAACCCACAACCTCCTGTATACCAGGTGATGGACTTAACATCTCGCCACCGCGGCGCTCCTGTATGCAAATGACCATGTTGCTTTTCAGCAAATTAATTAATAGGCAATGGGTGTGGCGGTGCAGCGGTTAGCGCACTGCACTATGAACCCTGCTACCCGCGTTTGATCCCCGTTCAAGAGAAATCCGATAATGTCCTAGGCTCTTCCCCCTGCTGCACAAACACGCACTGACCAACGTGGTGAAGTATGGTCAAACAACCTCCATGAAAGGC